GGGAGCGGAGAACGTCTGTGGATACAGAGTGGAGTTCTGTGAGAAAGGACAGGAGCAGTGGAAGCAGCAGCTCCAGGCTGAAGCTGGAGAGGTCACAGTGACAGGCCTGATCCCAAACACAGAGTACAGCTTCACAGTGAGAGCCGTCACTGAGGCGGGAGTAGGTCCAGCTGCTCCTCACACCTCCATGAAAACCTTACCCTGCGACCTTCCAGAAAACCCCAGCGCCATGTCCACCTCCTCAAAGATCTACGTCCGCTGGAGGAGACCTGCACAGGTGGGACAAGGCGCCCAGATCCTCAGATACATCGTGGAGTACGCTGAGACCGGAGACACACTCCAGTGGAGGAGAGAAGAGTCCCATTCTGAGGAGAAGGTGATCTCTGGACTTAAGCCTCAGACAGAGTACATCCTCAGGATCTTCTGTGACTATGGAGAGAACGGAACCAGCTCAGAAAGCTCCACTGTGACCATCACCACCAAAACATTCACTGCAGCAGAACTCATCGTAAAAGACTCTGTCAAAATCAAGTCTGGAACACCAGAAATCTACAAACTTGGTCTAAAAGCAGAAAAACTGCGCACTGCCTCGTGTCAGAAAATATGTGTTTGGAAAAGAAAGTCATAAAGAAAATCGTATCATGATCCTTCTTGGACCTGTGGGATCTGGGAAGATCAGTCTCATCAATGCCATGATCAACTACATCCTGGGAGTCAGATGGACCGACCCGTTTCGGTTTAAAATAAACGAGGATGAGACTTCTGACACAGTGGTGTATCAAATAAACCACCAGGAGGGATTCCAGGTCGACTTCTCACTCACCATCATCGACACTCCAGAGTTTAGAGATTTTACAGGCATCACAGGAGACAAACAGACCCTGGAGCAGATAGCTTACCTCTTCAATGATTTGAACATCACAGAGGTTCATACAGTCTGTGTAGTGGTCCAGTCGTCTTTAGCTCAACTCCCTCCAGCCCTGTGTCACGTCTTACACTCATTCCACTCCAGCTTTGGGAAAGATGTGTTTGAAAACCTCAAGATTCTGGTGACGTTCGCAGATGCTCAGATGCCTCCAGTTCTTGAGGTACATCACAAGCTGCTGGAGTCCCATGTCCTAAAACAGAGGAGGGTCTGCCAGTCCACTTCAAATTCAACAACTCTGCAGTGTTCGCCTCAAACCAGACCTCTGCAGAAGAAGACAGTTTGGATCAAATGTTCTGGGACATGGGAAACAAAAACATGACGAGGTTCTTTAGTGACTTAGAGAAAACTCAGAGCAAAAGGATGAATCCAGAAATAATAATAGTACAACTATTACATAAATGGGACCCCAAGTAGGACGTGTAATGAAGACATACGATTTCAATTCACTTTGCTTCATTAGGTGGACCTCTGTGGAACTGAAGAGTAATTCAACAACTGCAGACAATGCAATGCCACATTCATTATCCATGTCCCATTAGAAACGACGCAGAAATGGACAAATGTGAAGTATTTGATTCAGATGGAAGTTGCACTGTGTGTCCTGGAAAAATGTTTCTGGCGCAAACATTCAGTCCAGAAATACAGATGGAAAAACAAGACAGACACAAAGAGAGAAACAATGAAAACACTGAAAGAGAAATACCAGAGACAAACTGTAGAGTCTCTCCTTAAAAATAAACATATAAAGAATTTGAAGATGTGGAGGCAGAACTCTCAAAGATGTAACATTCAGTTTTTAAGAGAAAACTATTCCTGATGAAGACAAAAAAAAAAAAAAAAAAAAAAAGCAAAAACTGTAAATAAAACAACAAATCAAAGCATGTTAAACTAAAAATGGATAAAACAATTGGATCTGTGCAGCTGATGTCATCAACATCCACTGGGACTGTGACGCTAACTAGAGGCACTGCTGTGTGTGAAACTCTGTCATAATCTGACTTTTATTTAAACACAATCTGACCTTAAAAAAGTTAAAGTTTCATCAATATTTCATCACTGATCACGATTTAGATCAAAAACAAAGTTACTGTAAGTGCTCTTTGTCTCATCCAATCTGCTGCCCGACTCTCTCTATATTTACTTTACTTTTATATATTTACTTTAAAACTTTACTTTTATATATTTACTTTAAAACTTTATTTTTATATATTTACTTTAAAACTTTACTTTTATATATTTACTTTAAAACTTTACTTTTATGTATTTACTTTCAAACTTTACTTTTATATATTTACTTTAAAACTTTACTTTTATGTATTTACTTAAAATTTTTACTTTTATATATTTACGCTAACATTTTACTTTTATATATTTACTTAACTTTTTACTTTAATATTTACTTTAAACGTTTTACTTTTTTTATTTATACTTTTACTTTAAATTGTACTTTTATATATTTACTTTAAACTTTACTTTTATTGTTACTTTACTTTTATATATTTACTTTACTTTCTTTTATATATTTACTTTAAAGTACTTTATATACTGTCTTTGTACTTTTTTCTTTTACTTTGTACTTTTATATATTTACTTAAAATTGTACTTTTGTACTTTGTGTTTCTGAGGCCATAAAAAGTGTCAAAGTGAAGTGGTGTAAAAGGAGGCTGCATGTTGTGAGTGTGTTTTCTTTGCGCTGTGTGTTGTTGTGTGTTTATTATCGTCTGTGTTGGATTTGGTCGAGCTTTAGTTTCTCTCTGAGTCTCATCACACGTGTCTCTGATCAAACGGGGGAACTGCCAACAATAATCTCATGATATTCATTTCATACTTGACGCTCGCTGCAGTTAAAGTGAAAAAACCTTCTGCTCCGTGACCTCGGACGATGAACGCCGCTCCGTTTGACGACACAAACTGCAGAAGCTCCGGAACGTTCCCGGGGTAAAACTATCGGCTCAAAGATTCATTTGGAATTGGACGATACAAAGGCTTTGTCAGACGCCCAGACCCTCAGACTCCCTCAGACTTTCAGAAACCTCCATGCTTCTAGACTCTGGGATTGTGTGTGTGTGTGTGTGGCTGCTGCTGTGATTCTGTTGGTTCCTTTTGTTTGGACAGAATTCTGCAGACTTTTTACACACTTAAATGTTTGACACTGCAGTGTGAAGCTCTTTGGAAACGCTCTTGTTTATGAAATGTGCTGTACAAATAAAGTGGGCCTGGATCCTGCTGTGACGTCATTAAAGCTGCTGTAGAACCGTCTCTGCCTCTTTCTTCAGTTTTGTAACGATACAAGACCAGTGTTGGGAAGTTTACTTTTCAAATGTAATCCCCTACAGATTACAGATTACACACCCCAAAATGTAGTTTGTAACAGAATCCATTAAATGACTTAAAGTGAGTAATGTAATCTGATTACTTTGGATTACTTGATTTGATGTAGAGAAACAAAGACGAGGAAATCTGCACATAAGAAGTTTTATCTGATAAAAGAAAATAAAAAGTCCAAACTTTACTGAACCAAATTAAAAATATTATTGATAAAAGACGAAGAAACACGTCCACACAGCAGGATTTAGTCCTGTTAAATCCTGTTTGAGACCTGGTTTAGTCCTGGTTTAGTCCTGGTTTAGTCCTGGTTTTAGTCCTGGTTTAGACCTGGTTTAGTCCTGGTTTAGTCCTGGTTTAGACCTGGTTTAGACCTGGTTTAGTCCTGGTTTAGTCCTGGTTTAGTCCTGGTTTAGACCTGGTTTAGTCCTGGTTTAGACCTGGTTTAGTCCTGGTTTAGTCCTGGTTTAGTCCTGGTTTAGTCCTGGTTTAGTCCTGGTTTAGTCCTGGTTTAGTCCTGGTTTAGTCCTGGTTTAGACCTGGTTTAGTCCTGGTTTAGACCTGGTTTAGTCCTGGTTTAGTCCTGGTTTAGTCCTGGTTTAGACCTGGTTTAGTCCTGGTTTAGACCTGGTTTAGTCCTGGTTTAGTCTGGTTTAGACCTGGTTTAGACCTGGTTTAGTCCTGGTTTAGACTGGTTTTAGTCCTGGTTTAGTCTGGTTTACCTGGTTTAGACCTGGTTTAGTCCTGGTTTAGTCCTGGTTTAGTCCTGGTTAGTCCTGGTTTAGATTTAGACCTGGTTTAGTCCTGGTTTAGACCTGGTTTAGTCCTGGTTTAGTCCTGGTTTAGACCTGGTTTAGTCCTGGTTTAGTCTTGGTTTAGACTTGGTTTAGATCTGATTTAGACCTGGTTTTAGTCCTGGTTTAGACCTGGTTTAGACCTGGTTTAGTCCTGGTTTAGACCTGGTTTAGTCCTGGTTTAGTCCTGGTTTAGTCCTGGTTTAAACCTGGTTTAGACCTGTTTTAGACCTGGTTTAGACCTGGTTTAGTCCTGGTTTAGTCCTGGTTTAGTCCTGTTTAGACCTGGTTTAGACCTGGTTTAGTCCTGGTTTAGTCCTGGTTTAGTCCTGGTTTAGACCTGGTTTAGACCTGGTTTAGTCCTGGTTTAAACCTGGTTTAGACCTGGTTTAGTCCTGGTTTAGTCCTGGTTTAGTGGCAATAAGTGGAATAACCTAAAAAAAAAAAAAAAAAAAAAAAAAGCCCAAATTGTGTAAACAGTTAAATCTCTCTGTGTAATCCATTTATTTCAACAAAGTAACTGTAATCCAATTACCACTCACTGAAACAGTAACTGTAACTGAATACAGTTACTCATCATTTGTACTCTGATTACTCTGGTACATGTAATCTGTTACTCCCCAACACTGTACAAGACAAATCCACAGTGATTTAGTGTCTGACGTCATTTAAAGTGTCAGTATCAGTAAACGTTGTGTACAGGGATTTAGAATCAAGTCAAATGTACAAACAGAAATCAAAGTGACAAACGTCCATGGAGATGTTTGAGCTCAATCAGCAGCATTAAAACAGACACACATGACTCAATTCATGTTCCACGTTTCCTCGTCTGGACTTCTCCTTTACAGGGAGGAAACTGAATGTTTCCAGTCTCTGGGAGGAAGAGTGGGAACAGCAAGTGCAGGGACGGCGAGCACCAGGAGATGGCGCTGGTTCAACACTTCACAGGATTTAACAGTGTTTCTGTGAAACATGTTTCACCTCCAGCAGCAGTTTAGTTGTTTTCTCTTTGACTTCTACGGGGGATGAACTGTGACACTTGACATATTTACATCACCATGTTCCTTTTATTGTTGTGGAAATGATAAATGGTCCTAAAACAGCGTCTGAACGTGTTGGATCAGTTTCACTTTCGTTTTGACTCTCTCCCTTCGCTCTCTGCGGTAAATCGCTGCAGCTTCACGTCCCGTCACACTGAGCCGCGTCCCGCTCATCAAACTCCTGCGCGTCACATCAGGTTTGTCACGTTGCTTTGTTCACTTTTACACTGTCATGTTTTTGTGTTTTGATGGACAGTTGTCGTGTGGGAGTTTGGCTGCTGGAGGTTTGTGGTTTGATTATTGCTCAGAATCTTACAGTTAATCGTCAGGAGGGTTTGAAAAGGGCCCGGGACAGATCGCTAATGACCCATGACATGCATGAAGGATCAAAACATCAGCATCATGCAGGCCTTTTGTCAGAGAAAAACAACAACATGAAAACATGAGAGGTGTCTTTTAAAAAAGAATCTGATCACATCAGCGACACAAGGAGCAGCTGTTTTTTATCAGCGACAACAGTTTTTTATGTAAATGAACCATGCGGTTTTACATAAACAAAAATGTGTCAGAGCTGAATGATCTGATCAAACAGACTGATGTGTTTATAGTTTAGATGTTGTAAAGTTGAGTTTATTTATGCAGAAGATTTGAATGAAGAATGTGTTGGTTTGATGTGTGCAGTGGATTGTGGGATTCTCACAGCTCCTCACGCTGGTTAAACCTCCCGAGCTTCCGACGCTAAAGCAGCTCAAGGTTTGTATTTTTCCTGGTTTATTAAATTGATTTAAGTTCATTTTGCACTTGTGCATTTGTAAGATTATGTCAAGAATCCTGTGAATATTTGATCATATCACGGGGACATGAGTGTCCCGGTTTGTCTGCGCACATGTAAACACAGTGTCCCGAACACTGACAGAACCGGGACATGGAGAATAACGGGACACTGATGTACATGTGACGCACTCAGTGTGTGCACCTGCAGCCTCAGTCCAGAGGAGGCGCTAGAAGAACATTTACATGATCACAGTTTTAGAGAAAAGCTTTTCACAAAGTTCTTTTGTCGCATTGATTTTAAAGTGGAATTTAAAAAATGTAAGTGCAGCAAAAAACATTAGAAATGTCCCTGTGGACGTGTTTTGTGACATGAAGACATTTGCAGAACGAACTGAACTGGAGTCAAAAAGTGACATCTGTGTTCTCTGTATGTTTAGATTAAAACATTGACGGCTCCAGCCACAGCGAGCATCAGTCTGAACCTTCATCTCAGCTTCATCTCAGCTGCATTTCTTACATGAAATGGGACCAAAAGTTCCTCTGGACGCTGAAATGTCCCAGTTTACACCAAACACTTAGTGCAGAAAGAACAAAAATGTGACTGTTTGCTGCAGGTGTTTCAATCAGTAGGAGCAGATAGAGGGCGCTCTTGGAAAAAGGATCAAAACAAAAACACAGTGGATTCCAGGCAACTCCAAAAAAGTAGAAAAAGTAAAAAATCACACGAGGAAAAATATAGTTAACAGGCCTTTATTAGAAAGGCTGTCCTGGTTACAGACAGTGGGTTATATGTGAATTATAATGGGTTATATGTGAATTATAATGGGTTATATGTGGTTATATGGGTTATATGTGATTATAATGGGTTATATGTGAATTATAATGGGTTATATATGAATTATAATGGGTCATATGTGAATTATAATGGGTTATATATGAATTATAATGGGTCACATGTGAATTATAATGGGTTATATATGAATTATAATGGGTCATATGTGAATTATAATGGGTTATATGTGAATTATAATAGGTTATATGTGAGTTATAATGGGTTATATGTGAGTTATAATGGGTTATATGTGAATTATAATGGGTTATATGTGAATTATAATGGGTTATACGTGAGTTATAATGGGTTATATGTGAATTATAATGGGTCATATGTGAATTATAATGGGTTATATATGAATTATAATGGGTTATATGTGAATTATAATGGGTCATATGTGAATTATAATGGGTCATATGTGAATTATAATGGGTTATATGTTAATTATAATGGGTTATATGTTAATTATAATAGGTTATATGTGAGTTATAATGGGTTATATGTGAGTTATAATGGGTTATATGTGAGTTATAATGGGTTATATGTGAATTATAATGGGTTATATGTGAATTATAATGGGTTATATGTGAGTTATAATGGGTTATATGTGAGTTATAATGGGTTATATGTGAATATAATGGGTTATATGTGAATTATAATGGGTTATATGTGAATTATAATGGGTTATATGTGAGTTATAATGGTTATATGTGAGTTATAATGGGTTATATTGAGTTATAACCCTGTAAACATACCAAGGTGTTGTCTGTAAACACGAACATTAATTGATGCTGAAGCTGCATTAAAGTGTAATGTGTAACATTTCATTGTCTGTGACGTCTGTAACCAGGACAGTTTGGTGGTGTTTGGTGTAAACTGGGACATTTCATCGTCCAGAAGAACTTTTGGTCCCATTTGATGTGAGAAATGCAGCTGAGATGAAGGTTCAGGCTGATGCTCGCTGTGGCTGGAGCCGTGAATGTTTGAATCTAAACACACAGAGAACCTGATATTTGATAATTAGTCCTGGGATAATGTTACGTCTGATGTTCACCAACTGGCTCCACTCTGTTTCTACTTAGATGTAGGTGCAGTTTCCCATTCAGACGAGGTGTTTCTACATAATATCACACAGCAGCGTTCAGTTTACGAATTCAATGTGACAAGACAAGACATTTTTACAATAAATTTGAATGAACCCACTTGTTGTTCAGTTGTTGTAGCTCCTTGTTGTGTCATTACTCTGTTTTTACTCTGCTACAAACTGAAACATGCACAGTCTTGATCTTGATCGATGTTACCACAATTATGCAGACGACACTCAGATCTACGTCTCTCTGGCAGCAGGAGACTATGGACCAGTGGAGTCACTTGGTCACTGCATCCAACAGATCAGTGTGTGGATGCAAAACAACTTTCTCCAGCTAAACTCTGACAAGACTGAAGTCATAGTGTTTGGTCCACAGAAACAAAGGGACAGTGTCAGCAGTCACCTCAAGTCTCTCTCTCTAAAACCTTCAAATCAGGCAAGAAATCTAGGGGTAATAATGGACTCAGACTTGAACTTTAACAGTCACATAAAATCAATAACATCTGCCGCCTTTTACCATCTAAAAAACATAGCAAAAATCAAAGGTTTACTGTCTAAATCAGACTTGGAGAAACTTATCCATGCATTTGTCTCCAGTAGATTAGACACTGTAATGTTCTGCTCACTGGTCTCTCCAAACGAGCTGTGAGACGCTGCAGAACATCCAGAACGCTGCAGCTCGGGTCCTGACTCGAACTAGGAAGTACGAGCACATAAGTCCTGTGCTCAGGTCTCTGCACTGGCTTCCTGTGCCTCAGAGACTTTAAAGCAGCTCTGCTTGTACAAGTGTCTCCATGGCCGAGCACCAAAGTACATCTGTGACATGTTAGTGTCATATGAACATCTCGCACTCTGAGGACCTCAGGGACCGGCCTCCTGCTGGTGCCCAGAGTCACGACTAAACAAGGGGAGTCAGCGTTTCAGGTTCATGCAGCTAAAACCTGGAACAGTCTGAACATGTGAGACAGACTCTTCTGTGACGCTGTTTAAATCCAGACTCAAAACATTTCTGTTTGACTGTGCAAATAACTGAAAGGTTTTCATTCTGCACTCTTCTCTCCAATTTATGTCTCTCTTTTTTAATTTTAATCTTCATGATTATTTATGTTTTGATTTGTTTTTATTATGATTTTAATGTATTTCTTATTCTGTAAAGCACTTTGAATTACTTTGTGTACGAATTGTGCTGTACAAATAAACTTGCCTTGCCTTGCCTTTCTTCTGCTCGATGAATAATGTCTGTGAAGTGATGACGTGTTTTTGATGGTAAAGTCCCGTCTGTGAATTCGTGTTCGTGCTGATGAAAGTGTAATCGTACATTTTCATTTGATTATTGTAATTCTTGACGTGGTAACTTTTCAATTAATATTCTGATGATAAACTGCACACAATATATTTTATGTACGACTGGACTCATTTGAGAGTTTACAAATATTTATTTTATGCGCAACTACAGACAAATATGCACGGATTTCTATTCTATGCACACGAATATTTTTGACAGCTTTCTTACTCCATATCATGCACACTCGACTTCATGTAGTAGTAACCGGGATACTGCGTTTACATGCCACAGTGTCCCACTTACTGTCGGAATAAACCAGCTGCAGTATCTCGGGTTCTAATAACCGGACACTGAAACTGGGACACTGTGTTTACACAAACCATGAACAAACCAGGACACTGAAAAAACCCAATCATACACACTCAGTGTGAACCTTCTGAGGACGCCCAGTGACCTGGAGCCACACACACACACACACACACACACACACACACACACACACACACACACACTACAGAGACACACACACACACACACACAGACACACACACACAGACACACACACACACACAGACACTACAGAAACACACACACACTACAGAGACACACACACCACACACACACAGACACACACACACAGACACACACACACACACCCACACCCAGAAACACACACACACAGACACACACACACACACACAGACACACACACACACTACAGAAACACACACACACTACAGACACACACACACACAGACACACACACACAGACACACAGAAACACACACTACAGAGACACACACACAGACACACACACACACACACACAGACAGACACACTACAGAGACACACACACACACAGACACACACACAGACACACACAGACACACACACACACACACACACTACAGAGACACACACAGACACACACACACACTACAGAGACACACAGACACACACACACACAGACACACACACACACACACACACACACTACAGAGACACACACAGACACACACACACTACAGACACACAGACACACACACACACACACACTACAGAGACACACAGACACACACACACACACTACAGAGACACACAGACACACACAGAGACACACACACACACACACACACTACAGAGACACACACACAGACACACACACCACACACACACACTACAGAGACACACACACACACACACACACACACTACAGAGATACAGACACACTACAGAGACGCACACAGACACACACAGACACACACACACAGACACACACACAACAGAGACACACACACACACAACAGAGACACACACACACACACACACACACTACAGACACACACGACACACAAGACACACACACACACACACACACACACTACAGAGACACAAACACACACAGAGACACACACACACAACAGAGACACACACACACAACAGAGACACACACACACTACAGTCACCGGTTCTGTTCATTGTATTTATGGAAAGAATTTCTAGGTGCAGTCAGGGGCCGGAGGGTTTGGTTTGGGGACCACAGGATCTCGTCTCTGCTGTTTGCAGATGATGTTGTCCTGTTGGCTTCATCAGACCAGGACTTGCAGCACTGAGGTGGTTTGACCCGAGTGTGAAGCAGCTGCAACCGCAGCACACACCACATTCACACTGGGAAATGTGTGTGAAGTGTCTTGCCTAGGGACACAATAACAGTTTTTGTCACTGGTGCCCCCCTGTGGCTCCTGGTATTCCCAGTGGTCTCCATCCAACTCCTGCCCAGGCCCAGTCTTCTGAGCCTCTGAGATGTGATCAGATCAGGTTTGGATGCCACTCCTGGACTTCCTCCACGCTGCATCTTGACGAACTTTTCTGCAATAAATAATGATTACTGTAGCCATAAATATAGAAAAAAAAACAGTTAATGTTGACAATCCGATAAAAAGAGTAAATACTAACGTGCATAAGATGGCTTCAGACTGTAACTCACCTGTGGAGATGGCGGCTCTGGGTCGGTCTTTTCTCCTGGGCATGTTGTACGACTGCAGATCTGACACACTGGTCCCAGGTACGTCTGAAAGAGAACGGTATTCTACATGTATCTCGTCTTTATTAGAATCACTTTATATTTATTCATCCAAATAAACCTCTTGTTTTTCAGGCCTGACTTTCTGGGACCAGGAGAAGCTGGACAAAGACATGAGAGTGACTCCTAAACCCAGCACTCAGTGTCAGATCGTGGCGTCTGATCACCTCTCTGAGAAGGCCTCTTCACTCGGAGTGGAGGCTGGACTCAAAGCCAGTTTTATGAGTGGACTTGTGAAGGTTGAAGGGTCAGCAAAATATCTGAACGATCAGAAAAGTTCCAGAAGACAGGCCCGAGTCACTCTGCAGTACAAAACTACAACAGAGTTTAAAACACTGACCATGAACCAGCTCAGCAAAGACAACTTAAAGCACCACGAGGTCATTGACAAAGGTCTAGCCACACATGTAGTAACAGCCATCCTCTACGGAGCCCAGGCCTTCTTTGTGTTCGACCAGGAAACATCTGAAGATGAAAATGTCCGAGACATTCAGGGAAACCTGAAGCTGATGATTGAAAAAATTCCAAAGGTCTCATTTGATTTAGAAGGGAATTTGAAAATGGAGGACAGAGACAGAGAAAAGGTGAACAAGTTCTCCTGCACTTTTCATGGAGATTTCTGTTTAGACAAAAGTCCAACGACATTTGAAGAAGCAGTAAAAGTTTATCAAGACCTGCCCAAACTTCTGGGCCCCAAAGGTGAGAACGCAGTCCCTGTGAGGGTGCACCTGCTGCCCCTCAGCGCCTTAGACTCTGCAGCGTCTAAACTGGTGCGTCACATCAGTCTGAGGTTAGTCTGTGAGACAGAGAACGTCCTGGAGAACTTCAGGGAGCTGGACATGATCTGTAATGATGTCCTGAAGAGTCCTGCAGGGCAGAACTTCTCACACCTTTTTGAAAAAGTCAAAACCTTTAACTCTTTGTGCTCCGAGTTCCTCCTGGGACTCCAGGGAACTCTGGCCACGAAGCTTCCATCCATCGATCAGAGGAGGAGGAGAGGAGGAGGCTGCTCTGGCAGAAGTCCTGAAGAGGGCAGCAGAGAGTCCATTCAGCTCTCACCGTTTGAACCAGTGGATGAACGAGGTCGTTAAGGAGACCAACACCATAAAAGTCCTCACAAAACTGATGAGAAACACAGAAGTCGTCTCTTCTGAAAATGACCTCGTAGAGAAGGTGAGTGACTCAGAGAAAGTCCTGGTGTTTGTGTTCACGTCTCTGGAGAGGGCAGAGCCGTACCTCGAAGAACTGAAGAACCACCTAAAGGGGATTCAAACCCACGAGTCTGGAGCAGAGCCCACACCCTGGTACAAGACTAAAGACGTGATCCACCGAATGAGACTCAAAGCAAAGGTGTTTAGTGACTTTGCAGACGCCAACAAAGACCAGGACACAAAGGCTCTTCGGTTCCTGGCAGTGGGTTTGACTGATGAAAACCACAAAGAAGCAACCATCTATCTTTATGAAGACGGGTTCCTCAGCAGTGAGAGCTTTGAGCTCCCTTCTAAACCAGACTCAGTGACTGTGAGCAGAGCCACAGCGCACAGCGTGAGTCTGCAGGTCAGAGCTCTCTCAGTGGGAGCGGAGAACGTCTGTGGATACAGAGTGGAGTTCTGTGAGAAAGGACAGGAGCAGTGGAAGCAGCAGCTCCAGGCTGAAGCTGGAGAGGTCACAGTGACAGGCCTGATCCCAAACACAGAGTACAGCTTCACAGTGAGAGCCGTCACTGAGGCGGGAGTAGGTCCAGCTGCTCCTCACACCTCCATGAAAACCTTACCCTGCGGCCCTCCAGAAGACCCCAGCGCCATGTCCACCTCCTCAAAGATCTACGCCCGCTGGAGGAGACCTGCACAGGTGGGAC